GCACAATGGAAATAAAAAGCGATTGCAAATTGCGTTATTGTTGATTCAGCAATGTGCGAAGGGGGGAGGGGAAAGATCGTCCACACAAAAATCGACTTTATTTTATAGTTCAAAATATCTCAGTGGGCAAAATTTTTCAAAGTAGTGTAAAATCGTAAATTTTTTTGGTGTATTCAAGGCAAATTTGAATTATTTAACGAATTTTTCCAATTTTTTGGTGTAAATTTCGGTGTATAAAATACACTGCGTTATGTTGGCGTTATGTGGTGTAAAAGAAACCTTGAAATCATATTTGCAGTGTATTTTTTTTTAAATATACACAAAAATTCGGACATATAGCATGTCATGTTTATCGAGTGTAAATCAATCACACATGGTGTAAATAAATCACTTAATTTGGAATATGCACCATTCTAAAATCATGCTTTTTTCAAATTTTACAGTCCTGAAAATGATGATGGTGAGCGTCTCAAATATTGTCGATACAGCGGTAGCAAAGTTAAGCGAATCATTCGATACGAAGTTCAAAGAATTGGACCAAAAAATTGATTATTTAACATCTGAAATTTGGGAACTGAACGCGAATAAGCAGGCCAGTTCATGCCGTACTACTGAAAGACCTATCACAAACACTGAAAATTCGGAAAAAAGTGAAATGAATGACGAATAGTTTACCTGAATTTCCATTAAAAACTGTTGATGCCACTCAAAAGTTCAACGTCAAATTAGAATCGGATGCGATGTTCTATGTTATTGCAAAAAAAAAATTGCATGATGAATTGAAATCTACCAAAGGATCAACGGGATTATTTGCACGCCGACGAGATTTGAAATCTCTGATTTTCTCTGAGTAAGTTTTTATAGTTGGCCCAAGGCCATTTTTACTATGGTAATATTAAAATATTCTATTTTTTGTTTAGCGCACTATTGAAAAAGTATACGTGGAAAATTGCAACTGACGCAAAAAAGAACCGATTTTGCACGCTGACTGCAATCATTCGATTATTTGTGGATGTCTTTAATTACGGGCTAGAATCAAATGTTTCGCAAGAAGGTTCTGCCAATACTGATAATCAAGAACCAGAATCAGAAAAATCAACATCTTCAGGTACTCGAAATGCAACGGAAGAAGATTCTGCCGCTACTGATCAACAAGAAACTGAAACGGAACAATCAAAATCTTCACGTACTCGAAAGGCGAAGAAAAGAATGGAAGAGATCACGTTTGATATCAAGCAAGCCAATTTGTATTTCATGGAAATACTAAAACGAAAGGAAAGTTTAAAGCGAAAAAATGCTGTGAGCTCAAGCCAACCGAAAAAAACCAAACTTGATGATGAAGCAAATCCAGCAGAAACTGGACCAAATGAAAACAATGACAATCCCACAACTCTAAATCAAACTGTATTGGAAGGAAGCGATGACAAATCCGTGCCTCCAGATCCAACTGCATCGAACTGATTATCAATATAATCTTGAAATACATGTAAAATAAAAAGAAAAATAAACAAATAAAATAAAAATATGTGAACAAACAAGTAAAAAATATACACTGATCTTACACCCATATAGTGTATGTTATACTCAGATAGCGTTTAATATACATTGATAGCGTATGTTTAAAACGTACACCACCGCCATATTTTCCGTAATTATTTAACGTTTATTCGTTCCTAGGCAGAAACCATGTGTTTGAAAGATAAATTTCCAAATTAAAAAACTATATTTTTAGACAAATATTATGTTAAAAATTTGTTTTTCTTGCATATTTTGTTATTTTATAACAATTAGAATTGGAAAAAAGTATTTTTCTCGTAAAGGAAAACTTATTTTTGAAAAAGAAAATTACTTCAAAAATGTTTAATTATGTAAATAATTGTTATTTTCGGGGCGCGTAAATTTTTTGGGGGGTAGATTGAAAAATTAGTCGAAAAAGTGGTCTTGCTTTTTGTTTTTACTTTTTGAATGGCTTGGAATTTATTTCTAAAAGACACATTTTTAAGTAGTCTCATAAAATGTTTCATTAACACTTAATCTGATGAAACATTCATATAGTATATCCGAAACAGTAGATAGATTTTTGAACAAATGTGTAAGTCGTACACCGGATCAAGACAGATTTTCGACCAAGAAATATTTTTGATTTAACTTTTCCTATAGTTGTGTAAATTTTCAACCGAAAACAAGTTCAAAATTCACACCAACAGTTGAAATTTTACTCAACAATTCGTGTGTATTTTGTACACCATCGATGAAAAATATAAACTGTCATGGTTCAAATCATACACTACAGTGTAAATAGTTCACTATTCATTCCGGTGTATTTTCTACACTAGGAGTGTATTATATTCACCAGAATAAAGATAAAGTATACACCGCGGTGCATACAGTTCACTGTGATTTTTGGTGTATTTTTTACACCAGGAGTGAAAATCAACTACTACTTTACATGTGTATACTTTACACCGGTAGTGTAAATTAGACCCTACTCAACATATTGAAAAATAGTTCCACTTTAGTGGATGTGTTTGTTGGAAAGAATTGCTGCCACAAAATTTAAATTTTTGGTCTCATGTATAATTTCCTTTTCCATTATTTGTGTGCTGTAATAACAAAGTTTTTCGCCGTTTAGTTTGTGGTATTATTCCATAATTTGACACGTGAATTATCGCTGGTGCTCGTGAAGGTGTGAGAAATGTTTGTTTCAATGCGGTTCTTGGTTAAATCCGTATTAAGTTTTTCCCATATATTAGGTTAATGTCATTGATGCAGAGAGCTTTTGTGATGGGTTAAACGGATCTCGTGTATGTAAACATAGTTCATTCATTGAGAAACAAAATTATCAACAAAAAAAGAACCTCTCACCATACACACACACAGACATTTTCTCTAATTATACGGAAATTTATTATTCAAATTATTCGTAAAGCTGAAACAATTCGATATGCTGTAGATGGGTGCGCGATGGATTTTCTATTTAGTATAAAGACATAGCACCTCTCTCTCACACACACACTCACACATACTCACCTTCTTTGGTGTATATATGTAATGTGGTTAAGGCACATTAATAGGATTAAAATTGGGCCGAAAAATTCGATGAAAATATACAAATGACACGTTCTTCATCGGAAGCAGCAGCGAAGGAACGCACATTTTCGAAAACAATGGATAACATTGTATAAAGTTAGCTGTATCATTTTCAAAATTATGCTTTCAATCTACCACTGCCACACCATTCCATCCATCTCTTAGTTCATTTGGCTTCATTCTTTTCTTTTTCTTACTTATGCGTACATTCGCATGAAGAACGTGACATTCGCTTCGAACGGGGAGTTAAATTGGATTTTAATAATACGTTTATTTCGCATTAATCCAAATCCACAATTGGGGTGATTTCAATCGACAAAGATCAGTTTTTCTTTGTTTTGGCTTCAACAATTAGTTACAAATAAAATATCACCAATTTAATTGAAAATTCATTTATTGACAAATATGTTGATGTATTCAATAGCACCTGTCATTTCGTTGAAGGATTGCTTCAGAGTGATTCTTCAATAGAGGCCGTTAAAGTGCTTTTTAATGTCTGGACATTTTTCGTTTCCAAGTCTGGTTACATCGTCATTAAGTGTTTTAATAAATTTTACATCATCTCGAGCAAAAAGTTCCAACATTGAGTCTAATTCGGCCGCATATATCGGTTTATCCGCTTGTCTGGCGTTGTTAATTTGATTCATTTTGTTGATGATTTTTGCAATATCTTTTATATATGTTTCGATTGTCAACTGTAAAAGCTGTGCCGTCGATGGCACTGGCATGAAAAGTTTATAAAATAATTTAGTTTCAAATTGGGAAATTTTCTTCAATTTTAGTTTGAGCTTTTCTTCATTTGATTCCATAGCATTCATCAATGTTTCTTGGGTTTTTTGGTATAATTCACAGCATAGCTTGGCATCTTGCATGGTTTTTTTGAATGTTGCCATCATTGTTGGAAAGGTTTTCAGTGCATTGTAAAATATATTCAAATTGACTTGAAGTACCGGATATGGATTTTTAGCGACAAAGAGATTAAGTCGATTGAGCAACGAAAATATTGCTTTTGGGTCTAATGGAACGGCATCAATTGAAGAACACTCAAATATTGCAGACACCTTTTTGCCACTCGATGCAGTTTTGGACTCTTCAAATGCAGCATTAATAAATCGAATTGAACTTGATGCTGTGCCGCCTTTCACCAAGGCTGTTAGCTCTTGTTGGCCACCACCACATGATGGATGAACCTAATTTTACATCATTTAATGAGAATTATAAATAAATCTTTGGCTCAAAATTACTCAAATATCAAACATTTTATAGTCTTATCTAATTATGGGTATGAAGAGATCAAGATTTGTAGCCGTAGCTACTCTAGCTCGATCAGCCGGTGTATTGTTGGAGACTTTTTTTTGCGAATCTCGCTAATGAGCGCCATCTGATTTTAGTGTGAATTAGATGCAAAAACTGAATTTAATTCTGTAGCATTGAAATGAAAAAGTGAAAAAACAACAACAATAGCACGGCCACACAGAGCTGTACATCTATGCGTGCTGATGCATACATACACATATACGCTTTCTTCATTCTTTCATTCCATTGCTATACGTATCTCACTGGTCAACAGTAGCCATGTTACTGTTGTTGTTTTTTTTCTCTTTTTCGATTCAATTCATTGTAACTAAATTGAGTTCAACTATGGAATACAAGATGGCACAGATGAGGGGAATTCGCATTTTGTCTCTTCATAGGCTTAGCCGGTTGAGCTCGATTTAAAAAAAAAAGATGAAAAAATTAACCCATTTTGACTGGACGATTTTTCTAGTGTCTTCATGACTAGAAAATGAATTTCTTCCGTCCTAACGAAACAGATTAAACATCGCACAATTTTTGGAAAACAATAGTTTTATCAATTGATGAACCAAAAACATTCGAAAATTATTGAAATTTTAAAAATTATGAAATTTTTGAATTAAAATGATGAAATTTTGATGACGAGTAGTATAATTTTAGTAATCACCGCATCAAAGTTTTATGGAAAAGTCACCAAAATTCCTTTGAAGCGATAAAAAACTGCTTACGAAAAAGAAATGATGACTTACGTGTAGTGCGCATATAGCAGCAAAAAAGACAAAGAAGAAGAACATGGTTAAACGTTTGAATGAGCGACTAATTCATTGCGCTTAAGCAAACGATATTTATACGCTTATGCAAGACAATAACGTGAATCATTAACGAAATTCATCTTCATAATGAAATTTAAATGATTTTTTTTTATTTCAACGTCAATTGTATTGACATATTTAAAGATTTTTTGTTACAAAAGTTTATAATATAAACGAGATATTCTAATAATTAATAAAATAACAAGTGTTCTATTATTCCCAACATTTTAAATAGAATAAAAATCAATATATTGGATTATTATTATTATTGGATTTCTACGGAGAGTATACTAGGTCTGCTATCCAGCAAGATCCATAGTTTCTCGTTGCTCAGGTTTTTTAACCTATTGCAAGACACCCGTTTGTAATAGTAGTTCATTATCCAAAGATTTGATTAAGGCATGGGTTTAATATACTATTGTGATCGAAAAGTACACATAATTGATTAAAAAACTTAAAAATCTTTATTTATTCTTCTAAATTCATTTCGTCGCCTTCGAAGTAATCCCCCTCGGCCGCAATGCACATACGCCAACGTTTTTTCCAGTCTTCGAAACAGTGTGAAAACCTACTTTCAGGCCTTCAATTCACGTAGCGATTCACGTTCAATCTCTTCAATCGACTCGAAACGATGTCCACGGAGCGGTTTTTTGAGTGTATAAAAGAGCCAGAAGTCACACGGTGCCCAATCAGGCGAATATGGAGGTTGCGGAACGATATGAGTTGAATTTTTGGCGAAATGATCACGAATAATTAATGCAGTGTGAGCGGGTGCATTATCGTGATGCAAAAACCAAGAATTGTCTTGCCGTAATTCTGGTCGCTTTTTGCGAATTGCTTCACGCAAACGACGCATAAGACTCAGATAATATTCTTTGTTGACAGTTTGGCCCCTTGGAAGAAATTCGGAATGCACCACGCCACGATAATCGAAAAATACTGTCAACATAACCTTGATTTTTGACCGACTTTGACGAGATTTTTTTGGTTTGGCTTCACCTTTCAAACGATATTTGGCGGACTGATCGGCTGTTTCTGGGTCGTATGCATAGATCCAAGTCTCATCTCCCGTAATGATCCGTTTTATGCACGATTGATAGTCAGAAAGCATTTCTTGACACACATTAACACGACGCTCTTTTTCGATGAAATTCAATGTTTTTGGCACTAATCGAGATGCACAACGTCTGAGACCCAAATGATCTTTTAAAATGGTTTGGATCGACCCAAATGAAATGCCAGCAATATCAACAAGGTCTCTAATTGCCAATCGACGGTTTTTTAGCACAAGATCTTTTATTCCCTTGACGTGTTGTTGATTAGTTGACGTTGTTGGTCGTCCGGATCGCATTTCATCTTCTACACGTTCTCTGCCCTCTTTGAACTTCTTATGCCACTCATAAATAGTTGGTCTAGCCATGGATTGATCACTGAAGGCCTTTTCTAACATTTCACACGTTTTTATGGCCGAAATTTCGTTCCGCACACAAAATTTAATGCAAATTCTTTGCTCAACAAAATCTGTCATTATGAAAATCGCCAAAAGAAATTTTGTGTATGCACATCAACAAGTGTAACTCAACATGTGATGCAGATATTGACATGATTTTTTGTACAGTTATAAATGACAGTGCTACCAACCCACCCACAAAAATAAAATATTTACACGATTTCTTCATCCCGCGCATTTGAAATCATCAATTATGTGTACTTTTTGATCACAATAGTACACGCCTTTTTAAAGAATTCGATTATTCTTAAGATTTTGGGCACTTCATGCTGCTGGTCGATACCCCTTTCGAAACTACCCCTTAGAGCATTTAACCCCGGACATCTGAAAATGAGGTGAGCCGAGGTTTCCTCTTCTCTTCCACATAGTCTGCACTCTGCAGTCTGGATCATCTCTCAGGCGGAGATTTCTCAAGTGGTAATTTACCCCAGCATGGCCCGTTAAAATACCCACTGCAGTTCTAAGCTCATCCCTTGGGAGCCTCAGAAGCTGTCTTGTGAGTTCTGAGCTTAGATTTTTAACAAAAATTTTTGTCTGTCCACATGTAAATGAACCTTGCCAGTTCTGTGTGATACGGGTCTTAAGCCACGTACTTAAGTCCCCCTTTACTCGTGAATACTCCAGTGGTAAGACTGGTTCTAGTCCAATGATTGTGCAAAGAGCAGCTACTTTGGCCGCCTTGTCAGCCAGATCATGACCTCTTATATCTGAATGTGCTTTGACCCAGAACAAACGAAGAGGGTTTGTTTCAGCAATAGTCTGAAGTGCATTGTAGCAGGTCATGACAAGGCCGCTTCCCACCGTGAAACCCCCGAGTTCCTTTACGGCCTCCAGACTATCAGTGAAAATGGCCACATTTCTCACCATTTCGCCTTCCAGAACTTTGCAAGCACAATGATAAATTGCAGATATCTCCGCCTGTTTGACTGTTGTTGTTAGTCCCAGGGGAGTTGAAAAAGTTGTACACTCGCGCATGCAGTAGAAACCACATCCACTACCCGTATCCCTCACTGATCCATCAGTAAAGTAGGAGGAATGTGCCCAGGTATTATGCTGAAAGAACTCATTTAAATTTTCTGTCACTATCACCTCAAACTTTCTGTCAAAATTATAGGACAGCTTTGCGAGTCTGTCAGATGGTGCTGATAGCGAAGAGATTCTTGAGTGCCTCTGTATGCGGATTCTTTACAAATAAATTTTGTTTGGTTTGTGCCTTTAATCTAAAAGCGGTTTTCATTACTTCAGATTCAATGAAATCCTCTAGTTTAGGAAGGCTCAACAGGACATCGAGCGTTGCCTGTGGCGTGGTGCTCATGGCACCTGTAACACACATACAAGCTACTCTTTGTAACTCAATATATACATTATACATATTAAAATTATACAGCAGCAAAGTAAAAAATGTTCAGCACTCATCTATCAACCGTAATGTAATCAACATTTAAGTTCAATCCATATAATTTATTTATTATTGAACTTATTTCTGTGTATTTTACTTTCTACGTTGAATAATAATCCCGCTTATATACGTCGTTTAATCGTTGAATACTTCGTTCGTATACTTTTGTTCGATTTCCCGTTGTTAGTCAATGTTATGAGTTTGTCATGTTCGATAAAATTTGACCTATTGTTCAGCGTCAATAGAATGGGATGGAAAAATGAAAAATCGCTTTTGCTTTCTCTTCCACGGTGAATCGCATAATCTCTTTTTGATAGTTCGAACCACAGCACTAGATACCAAAAGATTGTTGTGAAGTGGTTATTATACAATGTGACCTATCCCCATAGCCATTATGCAAAAATGATAGTAGCTTGTTCATAAAAAAAAGTTTCTATGAAATATATGGTATGTATAACGACGAATATCACGCAACTGATTATTATGTTTTCGAATGCGAACGACCTAGGGGCTTTCATCATTCGTTCATACAAATTTATACACAATATTCACGTCCTATTCATCATATATACGATTAAAATTTCTCGCCTATACCAGTGAATAAGATGTATTTCAAACTTCAGTGTACACACACACACAGTATTGCTACACAGAATCGAAGAAGATCCGCACAAAAGAGAACAAAAAAACATGTCATAGACGAAATATATACGAAATATACACGAAATATACACCAAATATATGCAGTTATGCACATTTATTTGCGCGTATTACAGATGATTTTGCAATATAGTTCACTATTTAGAGTATAAATCGTATACATTTGAAGATAAAAGCCCCTAGCGAACGACCATCGAGCGACTGAATAAGTAAGACATTTGTTGTAAAAGGAGAAGAAGGAAAACCCAACCCAACTTTAACACGAAAGCCACACAGCGAAATCAGTTTTCCTTTTGCCCTCTCGCATTCTTTTATTGAAATTCAATGGGATTATATATTTGTAATTCGACATGTATACTAACAGGCATAGTATGCGTAACATAAAGCAATGATCGCCATCGTAAAAAAAGACCACGTCGACATTCACTATGACTTAGCCGAATTGTCCCATGCGAGTTTTGTGGCCCGCATATACCTGGAAGAATAACATAAATAAGAGGAGCGTCAACGCATAGCACATAATCGCATTTATAACCTTTGCATTGTTTTGCTGACTTAATGATAAAATAGCTATTTTTTTATACTCGAATATTGATTTGCAATTGACTCAACTATTCCTATCCTGTACTCACAGAAAAAGTTGAGGCGGTTTTTCCGCAAATTATTGTAGCAACAGCAGAGCTGCAATAAAAATGTGTTTCTTGTAGCTATTTTTGACAGCTACGTACAAGTGTGTGTGTTTCGACATTTTACATTATTTGTAGCATCTGTATAAACTAAAAAACCAATGTGATGTTAATAAAACATTTTAATAATTATTTTTTGAATAATTTTAGAAATGTCATTTTGAAAATTTAAATTCGTCATTTCAGAGATGAAAAAAGTGTGAAGAATTATTTTCCACCGAAATTTTCAACCAAATTCGACACAATTGCTCTGCACAAAAACAAGCCGAGATTCTGGGATCAAGATAATCATTAGCTTACCGAACTAAATGGCAGGATTTTTTAACTTGTAAATATACGAAAAAAAATTGATATTCATTACTTTTTTTAAATTAATAGTGATGTTGCTTTGACATTTTTAAATCTTAATTTCAGAGATGAATGTATATAATCTTGGGATTTAAAGAATTTGATTCCAGAATCCGAATTTAGTTTTCAGACATCAACGTCAGTGATGTTCCCAAACATCAAATGTAGATGGTGTGTTAAAATCGCTATCGCACACTTGTCTACACTTGCACTGACTAATTATTTAAAATATAATGCATCGATACATCAAGCATTACTTCCAAGTAGCTGTGATACGAATTTTTGAAGAAAAAATGAAACGTCTTTCTCCGAAATATTTTGAGACGCACTGTGAAAATTATTTTTTTTAGCTCGAAGTGTTATTTCGGTCCATTGAAAGCTACACCAACATGTGAGGTAGAGCTTTTCCATTATAAAATCCGACAATGTAGGCCGTCGGAAGATTTTTTCAATATCAAAGCTACGGAACAACGACTATATTTTAGAAGGCGATTCCGATGAATTGTTGTTCCACACCAACAAGCTTAGTGGGTGAGTATTTCGAATTGATAAATTCAGTCCTCCTTGCCAAAATCACTCAGAATTGAGTAGGTTGCTTTTTTAACAAAGCGATATCATTTTCATTTAGCTCAGTTCGACGCTCATGTATAAGAGACCAGCTTAGAGTGTTATTTTGGTGCAAAATACACTGAAATAGAGCGTATTTTCTTTTTCATGGAAAATATTGCAAATAAATTATCGTTTCTGGTTTATTGGGCCCCAAATCATAAAATTCAGAGCAGATTAATTATATCAGTTGTATTTCTGAAAAAAAAGTAATACCAAAGAAGTACTGTGGCAAAGCACACAATCCGTCATATTTGATTTGATTTGATTTATGAATGTTCCGCGAAAATAGCATATATGTTGATCTAGATCCTAGATGTATTATCTGAGGTTTTATGATGTGATTGCGTTCGCAAAATTATTTCAGCAACTTGAAGCAACTGTGACACACATAAAATATGAAAATAAATATTAACAATCATTTTCGATTAACGCCATTTTATTAACGATTTAACGACATGCGTGTCTGTCGAAACATTTTTATGATTCGATTTACATCTTTTATTTCAATTTTTACCGGCGGTTTTTTCCATTCGCTTTTATTAATAATTGAATAAAAACTGTGATGTGAGAAGAACCATATGTGAACCAAAACGTTGAGAGTAAAAGCTTTTTGAAAACACGCTGCAAGAAATATTAACTTGAGTTTTAATCATGATGAGTCATGATTTGGAGTGTGAACCTAATCTAACGTGAGGCCAATTACATAGAAACGCAAAAAAATGTGTATTCCCTTTTTTACTATATTCGGAATAATTTTCGGCATGTAAAATGTAGTTAACTTAATTTTTATTTCGACCGAGTACTGAAATTCGACTGAAACAAGAAATATGCATAATTCAAACCAGATATGTTGATACATCGGGACCACAGACGTCATTAAATTGAAATTCAAGCTGCTGTACAAATTTTAAAATTCAAACGTTGATTTGCATATTTTAATGCACATTTAACTCTAGTATAAATTTCAAGTAGCACATTGAAGAACGTTCACTCGCAGAAGACTGTCAACATCTTTCAGTAATATTGAAATTTTCCTGTTATGAAAAAAAAGTTTTGCGAAGAAAAATGTTTAATTACAAAATATTAACGGCGCTGTTTTTTGGGATCGTGGTTTCCGAGGTATACGATTGACATTTAAAATTTAACGTGGTTGTATTCTCGAAGGGATATGTATTTATGTGTGAATAAAACTGATCAGAAATTTCGAATTGGTTTAAAGCTAATATTGGTTTGGTGGATCTTATCTATTTGCAGCTCTTTTTTGCCAACATTGATGCCGCTTTATGCGGTAGAAACAGGGAAGGAGAAGGTAATAGTGGAGCGAACATGTTTTTTTACAAGATTAACAATGCAAAAACAAGATCTCATAATAAATGTGAAAACAAACATGTTTTTTTCCTTTTCAGGTGAGTTTGATAAAATGTGTGCGCAATGTGAATCATTGAATTTGATGGCCTTGATTAATATCATCCATTCTCATTACAGATCCTGGTATTCCCTTGAGTCAAATCAAATTTAATGTTCTTAAAATGGATTCGTATGAACAAGATATTAAAAAGTCATTAGATGGTGTATACAATACACTGGATAAATTGCTGAAACACCCTTATTTGGGAGCAGCCATGGTTATATCTCTTGGAATGATTGGAAAATTTATGCTAACAACTATCCAAATATTCACAAACAAAGGCGGCAAATTCAATTCAGTTCTGGCAAAACAAATTGTTGATACAGCTGAAAAATTGGATTTGGAAAACAATATCCATCATTTTATATCAACGATGACGCATATCCATCGGAGTCTTGATCGAATTGCAAATAATCGTACAATTCAAGAAGATGCAACGCTAACAAATATACATCGTGATCTTGAAATTCAAATGAAAATTTCGATCGTAAAATTGGAGTTTATAGAAAATATCCAGTTCTTTCGATTACTTCACTGTTGGTGTTAAATGCTTATGTAATTGCATTCGAAGCGCTTTTGAGCGAAAGAAAACCACATTTGGCACAACACTCAACAATGGCATGTGACATTAACCGAATTGTCGTGGAATATCGTTCTCTTGCTATTTATCATCGATTAAATCTAATCGATGTTTCGGCAACATATTGGTTTTCTGAAGATTCAGCGAAAAAAATAAAAGCGAAATTAATTCCAACGATTGCTGGTTATCCATACAATGCAAACGGCTACATCGGATCATCATCGATGGCTTGCGCTAAGATGGGAAACAATAGTATACTACCACCGATAATGATGTACTTAAACGATAGCCAAAATTCATTTTATGATATAAAAACATGGAATAACATTGAAAATTGCCTGGGGGACTATATGAAATTCGCAAGATACAAAATCGAACGATTTTTTGATCAACCGCTTACATTGTCAGATCTTCAATGTTCCGCTGAAGAATGTTCGAGAAAGCGTGAAGGCACCACCACATTTTTACCAGGTATTTTGTAAATTTCCAATGTGAGAATTTATGGTTTAACGTCATCTTCTTCTACAGTGCCTGAACATAACGAGATTGACAATGCATTGTTGTATTAAAGTATAGTCGGGCTTGAGATCTTTTTTATTCAACAACAAGTCCTAATTCAATATTGAAACGGAAAACAACGTTACTTATACAGAGAATTACAAAATAAAAATACATTTGACCACGACAATGGGATTTTTTATTATCTCCTTTTGTTTTTCCTTTTAAATTATATTCTCTTATACACTGCATTTTCTTCAAAGTCAAGACTGACTTGTTTCTTACTTAAATTTTTTAACAATTTCGATTCGTGAAAATATTCATAGCGACATTCCAGTGAAATCCAAATTTAGTGAACAATAACGAACACAAGCGAACATACTATTGAGAAATATGCCGTTCGAAATTCTTTCAGCTAAAATGCATGCCAACCATCAAACATGATTGAAGCTCTAAAACCCCATTGCAAATAAAATGTCTTACATCCGTAAGATGAACTTTTCCGCACTGTGATCCACAACATGCATTTATTACGTATCTTTTACCGTCAATATGAATTCATGAGAAAACTGAATCTGATATAAGTTTTGCGATACAAATAATTTTTGAACGACTTTTCAATGCCTGTATGATTTCGTAATCATGTGAAAATTTGCATATGTTATTTTTTTCACAAAAAGCTAACATTCTGAAAGTTTGAAGAAATTTCAATACAATTGAGTTTTCATACAAAATTTTCGTTTTTGAGCAAAAAATCCAAAATTTTGTTCGGGAGGTACCCCTAATTTGCATTGAAATCTCTTCAAACTCTCGAAATGTTATTTTTGCGTGAAAAAAATAACCTGTGCAAAGTTTCAGCTCATTACGATATGATACAGGCATGGTTTTCATACAAAAATCCATTTTTTTTTTGAAATTTTTCATTTGTAAGAAATCATTTGTATCGCAAAATTAACGTCATATTCGGTTTTCTCGTACCCAAAAACCTCCCAACACATATTTTTGAGTGTTTAAGAATACATTAAATATCACTTTTGGAAGAAAAATTGCATTTTTCCTATGAATGGCCATGGGCATCACACCAGACATGACACGTCACTCTATCAACCAAAGTCGCTCAAAATCTAATGGTTTCTATTCCTCGGCACCCCCAATCATCCTGTAAAGTCAGATTTTGAATTACTTTTCTTGTTTGAAAGTTATCGTGTTAACAAATTTTTGCGTACAGGGTACAGGGTGCAGGGTACCACGCACATACATTCGGACATCGAAAAATTGACTGATCCGTGTTCCCTGGCTCCTAAAACACCCATAAAACAAGTTTTTTGAGGGTGTTTATTTTTCGACCGATTCCAATACTTTACCTTACAGACTGGGTGTGTGCGGAAAAGTAAAATTGGTGCTATTTATATGGGACGAATATTATGTGACCTCATTGGCACTCCAATTTTTCAGGATTATCATAGAATTTCTATATACGATGTGTTTTACGTGCTTTTGCCTCCATCGTTTGCATTTTACATATGGACATATTTTGCATCAATCACGGATAGTTGTCCAGGTGCATTTCATCTAGGGGGTAGACACCAATTCAAAATGAAAAATCTATGTTAAAATACTCAATTGTATAATTTCATTGATTCCAACGATTCCATTTGAATTATAATAAAAAACACAAAACTCACAAATCCGAAGAATCCGAAGGATCCGAAGAATCTTATGAATCATAGGGACTTTGACAAAGTCACTTTGTCAATAATATAAAATGTGTTGATTGTTGAGTTAAATTTTATTCCATTGTTAAAAGTCGGTAAAAATGAAATCATTGCATAAACAAAAATAATTGAATTTTATTTTAATTTATATTTGCTAGCATATTTATTTTCTATAAAATCAACATACGTTTGTATGTCAAAAGAAAAAACACAAAAATGTGAATATTTAATGAATCTGTGGATCTTTACGAATCTGTGAATCTGTGCAAATCATTGGAATTATAGCAATTTAAATCAAAAATTGAGGCGAATGTGAATCTTTGTAAAATTTTGTAATCATACTAATCGTACAAATCCGACAAAAAAGGTGAATGGATTTGCGGGTGTCTCCCCCCTAGCATTTCATGCACTTGCATGCTCAGCATATATTTAGCGGTAAGTTTGAAACCAACTCCAATGAAAACTCTGCATTAAATCAGAGACATATCAATCAAACTGTATGTCTCAGCTAAGTAAATACTTTCTGTGCGTAGACGTGGCGTTTTTTTGTATGATTTTTTTTTATTTCGTTTACGATTCGTTGGCGAAACATTTACTGATATCCGGTGGTTAATAACAAATCGGTGGTTAAATTTCAAATGTTTTATTTGATCCTATCTGAATTAGAATTGATCAACGATCGACTTATTCTAATCGTTAAGCTAATGAGATCAATTCTGGTCTGCCACTTGTTCTTAGTCGTTAGGCAAATTATATTGCCAAACGACCAATCACAGATAACGAGTGTAGTACATGCACGCATACATTAGGAATAAGGATCATAATGCATGAAAAGCACAAATAAAAGACGAAGGCAAAAAGAGATAAAGAAACCCAGGCAAATGCGTAAGGCATGTTCCGGAGAGTGGAAAAACAAAAGTGCCTTCATTTAACCCTCCTGCAGACAGAATGGGTCTATGAGGCCCAGCAACTCATAAAAAATTGAATAAAATCCAAACTACTAAATCAATTTTTTTGAAACTTGCGCGTTAAGCTAATGATATCGATACATAAATAAAAAA